AATTATTTTGTCATTTCTTCTTTCGTGATAACGTATTAAAAATTGACAAGCACGAAATTTATTTGGATTCATAGCACAAAGTAAAACACTAAATAAATAAAAGATAGGCTAAGTACAAGAAACTATCAGTGTCTTGATGCCTCACAGTGTGCATTTAATGAAAATTCGAAAATGAGGTATTTTTGAAGCTCAACAGAGGGTACAAACACACTGATAATGTGAGCAGAGTCTCCTGTCATAAAAATGTTTAGGCTAAGTTTGATATCTAAATTTTCTTGTAAAAGCAATATCAGACTTTGAATTAACATGTCAAACTGCATCGATACATGTATAAAACAATATGTTTTGATTAAAATCAGCGGTGATCGAAAGTTTTTCAAGTCATATTTTAGAAAAAGATGCTTTTTTGTGCAAAACATTAATTTTTTAGTTTCAAGGATTTAGACATGACTCGAGAATGATAACTATCTATTAAAGAAACAATTATTTACAAAAAAAATTCGAATGTTCGCTTGCTATGACAGAAATGCTCACTGTATACCTCTTAGTTCTCTTCGTTTTGACCAGTAGCTTAGACTGTGCGCACATCTACAAATCGCCTTAACTTGTGGTGAAATAAATGGTTTTCACTATTTTTTGCTACATACCGTCTGTTATTCATTCGAACTGTTACATATTCTTGAAAAAATTCTGGCGTCATTTGACACCAAACCTAAAGAAAATTTTGAACATAAAACGCTATAGAAAGAACATAAAAATCATTATTTACTTCGGCACATTGTACTTTGGCTATATGTCCAAGATTTTGTAATTCCATCCAATTCGCTTCATAAAGTTTAGGTCCAATTAAAAAATTTAAATCTGTTATTTTATCATCCTCACGAACTAATGTTGCCGTTAAGCCAAGTTTACAATGGGCACGTACCTATTTTTTAATAGTACAACAATAAAATGTAAAAAATGTCTATTTTACATTTTACAATTTCTCCATACAATTGTTAAAACAGTTCGAAACATTTTTGCTGGAATTGTATGTACTTCATCCAACAACATTAAACCCCATTCACGACCTCTCAGTTGTTTCATAACTTCAGCTGTTTCAGCATTGCGTCTTTGTGTATGAGCGATCATCGAATATGTACTAACACATACGCAACAATCTAAAATAAATCATTTAATAGTATTAGAACATTTATCTAATAGAGTCAATGTTTTCTGGTAGGGTTAAGTACACAAGGCGCAGTATGCATCCAGGTGGACATTAGACCAAAAAAATGAAAATGTACTTCAAATAGTGGGAAATATGCATCAATATATGACCTATATAAAAAATTTTGTTCAGTGTAGTAGGAAAAGCTGAGAGAACTCATAGTCAAAAATTAGTCTCAAAACACATGGACAAGAGGTAAACAATTTGTTCTGAAATCTAATAAACTTTAAGGCAAAATCGACATAGATTCTCAACCTAAGCTTCTTCAGCTATCAGTTTTTTCTTTTGGACCTATACCTACGTAAAAATAACAGTAGTTTCCAAACTAACGAAGTTTCTGAAAACATGCCTTCAGTACGGTGAATTTCCAAACTTTCTCAAAGCTTCAATCTTTGTAAAAATATTCTTCTATCCATATTACACCTATCATATGAGCACTTAACAGCGTCGTCGTCCCCAGCCCTTATTATAGCCTTTCTAAAACCCTCTGATTTTTTGAGTAAAATCCAATTTTTAAAATCTCTACCAAAAAAGTCTTTTTTCTCGATAAAATAACATTTTCGGTCTCAGCGCATTGAACCATATATGATACAATAAGTTTTGGATCCAATAACTATCCATCAAAATATTTTTCGATTCATGAACTTGCATGACCGATCTAAATTTACTTAATAGATTAGACGTTCTAGTATTTCTAAAATTCAACGTTCAGTACTATATTTCACATCTTTCTGAACATTTTATTTTTCTATCTTCTCGTTTTATTCTCTTATTCCTATTAAACTTTTATATTTCTAAATCTTTTACTATTCTTAGTCTTCGTAATCTATATTTTTATATTCTAGACTGTATATTTAGACATAAACAGTCAACGTGTAACTGACTACAACTTGTATCTGACAAAAGGATAGTAAAAGTCTAGAAAACGGACAAGCTTATTCAATTAGTTATCAGAATACTTTATATATTTCTTTTCAACGCAAAAAAAAATCTCGGGTAAATTTTACATTTTACTCCATTTCTGAAGGACACATATCGGATTTTACATTTGTTAGCTGATTATGACAATTTTTTAATTACCGTTTGGTTTATCTTTATCCTCGGATGTAAACAATTTTACTTTGGAATCATCAGCTGTGGACCACATTTTAAATTGCTGTTTCCATTGTTGCACAGATACATTTGAATTGCATAATACTAGACAACTTTTATTAATTGTACATGCAGCTGTTACTCCAACAAGAGATTTTCCCGCACCTAAAACAAAATTATATTCTCGTGTCATGTACATATAAATTAAGAAAAACATTTTGTTCATACCACAAGGTAACACAATTATTCCTGATCGAGCACGTCCATTACCAAACATTTTTCTTAAACTTTTCTCTTGATATGGTCTCAATATAGCATTAGGCCTCAATTCAATGTTTAAATTTTTCAAATTTGTATCATGACGAAAATCATATTCTTCTAATAGTGGATGTTCTAATTCTTGACATCTAAAATGAAAGACAATTACAACTAAGATGGCATATTCAGTCTCAAAAAACTTTTTAACAGCAATGCAATTTTACCGTTTTCTTAATGTTTCAATTTTTTCTTGTATCACTTCAAATGACACTGTTTTAAGATCTTCTAAATCTTCATCATCACGATCGATTTTTTCATAATAACGTAATATGTCATCTGGTATTTGTTCATTTGGGGCTGATGATTGACCATTCGTTGTTACGGCGGGTGCTGATGTTCCGGGAATAATGGTGCGTGTTTTCTACAAATAAGAAAATAATCTAATATCACTTTTGCTAAGCCGGATGATCTGTAGTATAGTTTTCATAGTTAAACAAGTCTGAAGGGTTTTCTGTAGTACGATAGAACATCTACCTCTATATCAGTTAAATTTATGTCTAAATCATCACCGTTCGACGTAAGACGACAATTTTGAATTTCTGGATCTTGTAAAAGACGTTGCAAAACATCCTAAAGTAAAGAACATACGGTTTTTTCTACATTTTTCGAAAATTAGATATCAAATAATACATACAGGAAATGTACTTTCGACAAAATAACGATTGTGCTTCAAAACAAGTTTTACTTTGGCATAACTAAGTGTACATAACTTAAATAAAATTAAAATTTATTAGAGTAAATAAAATAGTTCAAGACAACTCTTACTTTAATAAATTCAATAATTCCATTTGGTATCGTTGTTTTACTCAATCGTTGTAAATATTCGATTATATCTTGTGTTTGTAATCCAACGGATACCGCTGCATATAATGAATAGGCTGATAATTTGTATTCATGAATATATTCTGGTCGACAAACAGGCTGAAGTGAAGAAAATAAGCTAATTTAAAAACAGTTTATTCATTGAACAAAACTAACAAACATACTTCAGCAATAGCGATAAGAAAATCGTGAGCATGTTTATAAACACTTGAAAATGATTCCAAAAATATATGACCATCTAAATTAAACGTTTTTAATCAATTTTTTATTAGAGCAAAGAGATATAAAGTACTAACCGGGTGTCACCCATAAGGGACGATTTTCATGATCATCTTTTAATTCCATTTCTCCACGAAAATCTTTAAACTTTTTACTTGATATTGTACCCGCTGTTGTTTTTATTGAATCATCATCATCATCGTCACCAGTAGAATTATTTATGGGATGTGAGGCAGCTTTTGGAACTAAATCTATTAAGTAAAAGAATAAATGATAGTTTGATCAGACCGCCCGCATACTTCATCATACCTTGATCTTTTATAACATTCAAATCATCGATATAATCATCATCCTCATCATCATTATTAGGTTTGAAAGATTTTACATTACGACTTTCTGTAAAAATACATCATGGATATTCAATAAAATTCTATACTTTAATTCCATAACAACTTACCGCGTTTACTTTCAGCTGGACGTTTTCCCATTTAGAAGCTTTTTTCACTTGGGATTTGGTTGTATAAATATAAATTGATAAATGCGAAGGCAACAGCAACAAAAGCAATTATTACGGCAAGAATGATATCGTATGACTTTAAATATGGTGTGAGTCCATTTTGGGTTTTTTTCATCTAAAACACATCAGAAGATGGTGTTTTATAGATAAAACCTGATTAGAAAGGAAAAAACACTCATGTGGTACTGTATACAAGTATGCTACAATAAAACATGACTCTTGTTGACTTTTGTCACAAACATGACATTTGTTTATTAAAAAAAGAAGAAAAAAACAGTATAAAAATATTTCAACATCTCTTTCGTCTCGCTCATTTTGTAAACGAAGTACATTAAAAGAAAAATCTTGTCAAGGAAGTCTCGTATGGAGCTAAAAAATGTAAAAATTTTTGTGTAACGTTTAATCATTCTAATTACTAATTCGAAAGGATGCTACCTTGACCTACTTTTAGAAGATCATCATTGTAATAACGTCGGTATGTACTAAATTCGCACTTAACACCAATTTTGAGATATTACGACTACAGACTAATGTAGTAGATTACCGCTAACAGTGCAACACTAAGTTACTGACATTCATCTAGTATCTTATATTAGAGGTAATCATTCTTCTATTTGCAAACATGTTACCTATGATGTTCCGTTGTGAGTGTGTGTACAAGATAAAAAGCTCAACAAAAGCCTGTAACTCTGAACATAAATTTTACATTATTGGTGTTTCGGAATAACCGTAAATTTGAGGAATTTGATAAAAGTTAAATAAACGAGTTGGCTGAATTAATGAGGAAAAATGAGAAAGAAAATACAACTGGAATAACTTCCGTCAATGTATTCGAGAAAGTTCTTCAATAGCTTTCACAAGTTCATCAACCGTCGTATGTAACTCAACATTATTTTCACCCTGAAACAATAAGAAAAATTTAGATTTTTATTCTTTGTGAAGAAGTTTGTTACATACTCTCAAATTTCTGATTACATCTTGTTTCATATCTTTTGATAAATCAAGATAGAGTTCAATTAAGTCACCGTCTATAAAACCACATGAAACATCTGTATGCATCTCAGATTCAAACGCACGCCAAGTAGCATGATCGATTTTTCCCACACTGGGTAATTTAGCTAGTTGTAATTGTAATGCCATTAATATCTGATATAAATGCGGTGTCAATTGTATAAGTAATCCAATATAACCAGATATTGCTGCCATCAAAATACATGATTGCAGAGGAATACTTGATTGAGCTGATTGTTGAGTAATCAAGCTTCCTAAAAATCCAAATAAAACATTTGTTTTTTAATCGCACCACGATTGAACACTATAGAACGAGTTATCACGATCTAAAGAGTTATGCCATATTTCTTAGATTATCTATCTCACTACGAAGATTAACGTTTTTTTTTATCTTTCTAAATAGTGTAGTAACATTCTGAAATAAATACTATACCAGGACAAAATACATTAATAGTTTCGCCTAAATGATAAAATCCAAGTTCTTTTAATTGTTTTCTTTCTGATTCTTTTGTTGAACCACTGTCTTTATGACATGATATCAAATTCGATGCATCTTCTGAACAAATAAATGTATCATCATCAATCACTTCACAAGCCATCGTCCATAACGGATGTCCATCATGCGCAATCTAAAAACAGAAAATACATAAATTAGATTGATAGAGTAATGTTTTGTTCAATGAATAAATCACCTCTTCAAATTTATTTTCTACTAGATTATAGCGTAGAACAGTAAGTGATTTCATCATATCGCAAAAAAGTACAAAATCATCTTTTATCTTCAATTGTAATGTTTCAAAATATCCGGTATATTGAGTGATTAATACTAATTCTTGATTATTTGGTGAAAAGTTGTACAAATGAATCTTAAAAAAATAATCGTTGTTCAATTCATTTCTTTGCTAGATTTTTATTTGTTCATCCACTCCTACCGAATTGCCAATGCCGACAATAAGTTTACCGTTAAATTTAGCCATTGTATGTGGTGGAGCATTAATATCTTTTTCAGTGACAAAATTAATTTTGCCATCATTATAATGAAATACTAATAAACGACCCATTTTTTGTTCGAGTTCATCTTCGTAAACTATTGCCGTACCAACAATAATATATGACATATTTATCTCGTCAGTAAAATTCAATATACATACACTCATTCCTTCTTCATGACTCAATAATTTGATAGACACGCGAGCTAAAATAAAAATATACTTTGAATCAAAATATTATTAGAAACAGGTCTTTTATCAAGTCGTATACCTTCTAGTGTATGCTGATCGAGTATAACAATATTATCTTGTTGATCAATTGGGTGTTGCGTTTTTTCTTTAATCGTTTTAATTTTAGTTGGACAATCAATTGTCTGATGCGCATGTTGACTGATGGGTATTACTCGATCTGAATGAAATAATTCTGTTGATTGTGTTAGTATTACATAGGATTTTTCTTCTTCATGATATGCAATACGTCTTGAAAAGAATGTAATATAAAGTGTTAAGAATAATAGTGATAGTTTATAATTCTTACCTTACTGGTTCTCCTAAATTAATTGTTCCAATATGTAACTTTTGCATATCATCAATTTTTCCGATTACGACACCATTTTCTGTTACCAATGTTAAACTTGATCCATATAATTCCGAATTAAATGAACACATACAAATTACTTCATGTAAATTAACACATGAAAACATAAGTTTTTGATTCGATGAATAAATAACAGATGGACGATCACTGCATGCAAATAAAACTGTTCGCTGTTGTTGATGATGTGTTGAATCGTTTGTTGCTGTTTCATTTCGACAAAGTGTCAATGTTGTAGGTTTTGTACCAAGTGATACTTTTTTACGCTCATATAATAGACCTAAAAAGAAAAATAATTCTGAATGAGTTGGACAAAGTAAAGTTCCTCAATAGTTAATACTATTCTTCTACCACAGAATAGCTTTAAGAAATCTTTTTCATAACAGAATTACTATTATTAAATTTCAATAGTTAAATTAATTAAATGCATACCTTGTTCAACATCTAGTAGAAAATAAATAATAGGTCCATCAGCTAATGATACAACAACATATGGCTGAGAATCAAATGATACCATAATAACAGTACGTGGAAGTGTGTCTAAACAAAAAGAAAAATTTCCAAGAAAATAGTTATTTTGAAAACATCTATCGGTATCTCTACCATTTGTCAGTGGTTCTTTATGTTGAACTTCCAATGTTGGTAGACGTAATGTCCAAACACTAATGTGTGTCCATAAGCCAATGACACATAGATTCGATCGTTCTTCATTGTAATTGACTGGTGTTACATCCATACAGGCAATATTATAAGGTAAAGTACATTTACTAAATAAGAAAAAAAAATTGAAAAAACTTATGAAAAGTTGTTATAAAGCAAACTCTCACCTGATTTCAGTGAAAGTGGATTGCCCAATTTCAAAATAGTGCAATTCATTTCCAATCGCACATAAACACTGTGTAGCATTACACGTTGAAACGGTTATTTCATTATTTTGATTCGAATTTTTCCATTCTACAATCAAATCTTTTCCGTTATTGCCTATCAGACGTATTGAATGTGTTGTAATCTAATACAACGAAAAAAATGAGTAAAATATTCCAATCTTTTTCTTTTCAATAGCTGTACTTTAGTTTACTTGTAGTATTTGATCAGCAATAATATTTGAACATAACAGTGTTTGATGTTGAAAATCGAATCCAGTTAATTCTACTTCTTCAACTTCATCATTTTGTAAATAAAACATTCTGTTATAAACAGCCAAAAGTTAGCATCAAAAGTGTCTCAAGTCGATATTCATCTTATTATTACCTTGTTTGTTCAAAAAAAGAAATGACTAAATAATTGTCCCATTTACTTGAAATTTTCAATGACCAAATGCCTAAGATAAAAATCGAACATTATTTTAGCACATTTTGCAATAAAATAAATGTATCTTGATAACGACTTTATTTCAACAAAATCTAAGCTATTTGATGGATGCGAGAGTCGAACGATTTACTTATTTACATAATAAATACCTTTGATATTTCTGAGATCAATTGATGCATGTTCTTGTATACCAATTCCTGTGCGTACTATACGCAATGATGAATCTTTCGAAAAACCAGAACAGGTAACCAACTAAAAAAAGACATATGAAAAGTTTCTTGTGCTAACGGTAACGAAAATAAAAGTAACATACTTGACGTCCCTGTCTTTCAATATCAACAATACACATGTCAAGTATCGGTCCAAGATTTGTATAAGATTCTAAAATTTCTAGATGACTTCCATTTCGAGGTTCCGGTAATAACTAAAAATAAAGAACAAGGATAATAAGTGAAATAAAAACGCAGCAAAAAATTTACTCGAATCAATTGACTATCACCAGATCGTGAGCCAATAAATGCAACACCATTATCCAAATAAATTATGTTTTCTGAAACTGACGTTTCACCAAGTAAATTTAACTAAAATAAGACGAATAAACAAGTCAAGTATAATCCCAATTCTATATTGACCTTTGATAAAGATAAACTATTCAACGAATACATAGATGAAAAGCACGACTAGTAACAATTTTTGTGATTCTTACTTTCATATCTGTTACAATTAAACTCCCATTTTTTTTTTCACATTCAAGTACAAGTAAATATAATTTTCCACACCAGTCTGACAACAAATATCGTCCGCCATTTGGATCTATTGAACAGTGACCAATAATACCCGTAACCTTCTACAAACAAATAACGCTATCATTAATAAATTGTTTAAATTTTCTTTTACTCACATTATCTAACAATGGTAATTCAAGTTCTAATGGACGATCATTTTCTTTATATAATGCAACAGCATTTCTTCCAATAACAATACAACTATCTTCTCCTACTGAAAAAAATAGAAAATATGATGAGATAAAAAAAAATAATCTTAATTAATGTTAAATAATACACCTACCAGGTATAATAATTGCCGGCTCAGATATATCTATCTCTTGTTTCCATGATGTTTTTGATATATCTTTATCTTTCATTTCAATCTGATATGTTTTAAAAAAAAATTTATTATTCTGTTGATATTCTGAATCTGGATGACACTGAAAAATAAATGAAAAATATAGTTTACTTTAACACGATCAATTATATACATACTGAATGTATTAATGCAAACGTTGGCTTTTGATATCCAGGTAAGAATTGTAGATCAATTATATTTTGTTCATCAACTCTAATTAAAAAAAACACACACACACTGTTAGATGCACAAATATACAGTGATATAAAACATACTTGACATTATATGATTCCATTGTTTTTGATAATTCTTTTGTAGAATCTTTCAAATAAATCAACTTTAAAAGTCCTTCAACTATTCGTAATACAATAATTCCATGTTTTGCATCTATTGCACATAATATAGCCCGTATAGGTAGTTTAATAAAATCCTGAAAAAAATTAAGAAAACGTATAAGTAATAGAAAATATTTCATTTTATGAAACATAATAAAACGTAGATAACAAGAATATCTAATTTTGAAAATAGATAAAATGATTTAGAAAGAAAAAGAACATATGAGCATGTTTTTAGAATCGATGAAGTTTAAGATTTTACCTTTAAAATACCGTGACATTTTGTAATTATATCATATTGATCATTAGCAGATTTTTTACAGTCTAATATCATACCATGATGTTTCTCGGTATAAATGAATACAACATCTTTATTTGATTGCTAAATAAATAATAAAAATAGAAATCATCATTTCTAGGAAGAGAAAAAAAAACTTGATCAATACCGGTGGGCGAAAGCATTTCATAATTGCTATACGACCATATATACAAACATCTTTGACTAGTTTTAGACCTTCGGAAGACATTAAATAGATTTCAAAATGTGTATTTTTAGCCACTAATAAATTCAAATCTGTTGAACTTGTAAAATGGCCAATTGTTACAGCAGTAACAGCCGTTGGACGTTGAACTGTAACTATATAATTAGCGGCAGCCATCTGCAAAAAGAAAAGTGACAATCAAACCAAAAAGAAATAATTTCCTTATCTTAGCCACAGATAAAGGATTCGTGAAAGCAAATTTTACAGTTACTAACATTTATTCAATTTCAACTTCGTTTGTGTTTACTCTGGCATGCACATGTCCATATAGCATGTACTAGGAACAATCTTCATTGACTTTTCGATCTTGCGAAGAGAAGAAGCTAAAGTAGTTCCCAGGACACATACCTTCTGTTAAGCTCACAATAGATTTTCAAATCTTAAATAACAAACACAACTGTCTGAATACTTAATATAAAAAGCTATTGTCAAAAATAATTCAGTGTCTAATTCTTTCTCAGCCCAAATAGAGAAATGCAAGGTAACGAAAAAAAATTATAGCATTGAAACAAGACGAGATCTTGAAAAAGAAACTATAATGGGTAACTATTACTGACTCATAGCGTCTTCTTCTTTATTGACTTCGAGCTCTTGGTACGATATCATTTTCACTGAGATACGTAGCAACTTTTTTTGAACAATTTTAAACACGCACAGCAGTTACATGTTTCAACAGACGATTGATTTATTAATTGATATTCAGAAAACGATGCATGCTGGCAGGTTTTTTTGACACATTGTCAAAAATCACTAAATATTGCAAATGCAACGTCGAAAGTTTGTTTAAATGAATCCAATATAGTATGAACTTTTTGTCAATGGATCATTTCAAGAAATTATAAGAGTAATCGTCACAAAAATTATAATATATATGAAGCGTACAATGAGTAATAATTAACCTTCCACTGCTAGCTATTAGTAATTTCCATCATTTTGTGAAAAGTAGTAATTTCAATCTTCGATGAAAGTTTTAAAAAGAAGTGACATTTTTGTTAAGATGAACTTGAACTTTTATCGGTAGAGTCGATGTAATCATTTATTTTCAGAAAATTAAACTGTCATTATTAATTAACAAATATATTATAATTACTTATTTTCTGTTTGACACTGAGAGAAACGCGAATACCGCTTACATAATTGTTGACTTTTTCAAATTTTGTAGTCAACTAAAGATTTACGCTCAACATTTTTGATTGCGTCCTTTGGTTGCAATGTTTCTTCTAGAATTTTTATGGCAATATATGATAACTAACTTTGATTGTCTACGAAAAATACAATAGTTCAATAGATTGGGAAAAAGGAAATGACAATTAATCAATCAAATTTTTTCTTAAACATAATAAAAATGTTATTTTATTTTAAAAGTTAAATCTACTGTAGAAAACGTATATTCATTCAAAGTGAAGTAGATGTTAATGGAGAGATTTGCAGATGAGTCCCATTAAATAAGAAAACTATTACGTTTTGTGGTATATATGTGGATTTTTCATAAATATAAAATCATAAGGTGACAAACGAATGTAATTGATAAGCATGATGATTGGACGGCGGATTTTCATTCCAGTTGACGAATTGCCCCCATTGTAAATTTTAAAAAAGAAAAATCGGTGGGTTTTTTACCTACTATTATATGTAAACTAATTATATATATACAGTGGAAATAGTCATGTTGTTACTTTAATTCCAAAAAGCAGAGCAGGCGACTGCAGTAGCGTCCTCTATATTTTGTTCGATTATTTTATAATTGAATTAACTTAAGTTTTACTAGATGTGAAGTAAGAGACACCGTAGAAAATAGTTTTATTATTAGGGCTCTAGCATTTGAATACTGGTTGTTGCTACGCAAGCAAAGCAAAATGCACAGTCTATGGCTAGGCTTGTTTCTTGTCATCATTCACGCTCATAATCAGCCAAGTTCAAACAAGCGAGCTATATACACTGTTTATCAGAATGGCGTCAAGTACAATTCCGACTCATTACCCTCAACTAATCGATCCTACTAGAACACCGTTAGCATTTCAGCGGCTCGCTGTGCCAAGATTAGTAAGTGGTTTCATGATCAACTGTTTGAGTAAACACCGAACTCATTGTTTATCGGTATCATGAATACGCTATATAATATCAGAGAGATGAGAGATTGTTGTTCATAGAATGAAAAATCAGTTATTCACTTATTTAGCGTCGTGAATTAGAAAGCACAACATTGCTCACGCGACAACGAGCATTACGATCTTTATGTGATTATCTTCATGATCCAGAACATATTACACCTTGCATCGAACAAGGTTAGTTTTCAGACTTTACAGTTCAACTGAAAAAAGACTATTTTTTTTATGAAGGTATTCCTGGAACATTAGTGAGTATCTTGAAAGACAATGATTCATTCTGCCGACTCAAAGCTGCCGAATGTTATTATGTGATTGCAAGTGAGTTTATTTGGTAAATATGCAGGCACGCTTCATAGCATTAAAGCGCTGTATGATTGATTAAAACTTTAACCGTACGTTTTCAAAGGTCATGCTATCGGGCGCAGGGCGATGGAGATGGGTGATGTTATTTCACGTTTGTCCGAATTATTCGATGATAAAGAGGCATCTGTTAGACGTAATGTTCACAGAGCAATAGCGATGTATGCTGAAGCTCCGCCAGGTATCACTATGCTTGATGTGTTCATTCATCTCGTACAATTTTCTTATTTTTGCTTTTAGGCGCTGAGAATATTATTGAATTGAAATTAATTCCAAACTTATTAACAAAATTAACAGCAGAATTAGACGAAATTAAAGTATGATGTTTTCGAGTAAAAGGTATAGAAACAATTTAACTAAGCTTGCATTCTTACTCACAACAGGAGATTATTTTGAACACACTGCATTATTGCTTAATGATTGATAAGGAACAAGCGTTAGAAGCTAATTGTATGTCTGTTCTAACAAATTTATTAACTCATCCAACTACAAAAATCAAAACGCTGGCTGCATTAGACATATTTCATCTCAGGTAAAAACAATAAATTGTATGATGTATCATTCACTAATGATACAATTCATCTATTTTAGCCTTGCGCTAAAGGGGAAAGAACAAGCTGTTGATCTTGGAACAATCGATCATTTAGTGGAATTTTTAGATTCAGAGTCTGATGAGTTAAGAAGCAAAGCGGCAGTAGCTTTAGCATCGTAAGTTCTCATAGCTGCTTTTGAATTTCAACTGTATTTTATTGTTTACTTAATTTAGTATTGCAATTATTACACCAGCAAAATACTGTGCTATCAAGGCCGGTGCATTATCAAAACTACTGGATATGTTAGATAGTGAAACTACAGAATTAATCGTTAATGCTCTGAAGGTGAAAAAATGTGTTTATATAATTATCTGATTTCATCTTACTCAAAAAAACTGTCTCATTAGTTTATGACCGTATATTCACTTATCTATAGACTGATACCCAATTTTTGCTACTATCAAAATTTATGTGTCTATTGAACAAAGTTGAAGTACAATGTTTTATATGTACATGAACTTTTTTTCTTGCAGGCAATCGTGTGCCTAGCTGAAGCACCTGAAGGACGTAAACAATTGTTAGACCATATTGACAAGGTAAGAGAAGATTATTATGGTCGGATTAAATACTATTCCAACATATTCAACTTCTTTTATAGATCGAACCGTATAAAAATCACCGCTTACCAAATGTTGCTAAACAAGCTCAAATAGCTGCAAAAATAATTACATGGCAACCATAATTGTATAGAACATTTCTGAAAATGATGGTACTTTATTTTTTTATAACTTACATCCTTCTTTCTGAAGAAATTTGGTTTTATTTGTAAGACTGAAATGCGAATATTTATATGTATTTCTTTGTTTACATAAACTTTGTTTTGGAAATAATACAGCAAATAAGGCCATAATTAACAAATATTTGTTGCGACAAAATAACAGTAACATTTGGAATGACCAGGGAACGTTTGTAGTTTTATTAGAATATATTGAAAAAATTCTTGTCTATAGTAAGCTATAGAGATGCTAAGTCCGTAATAATGCTAGCTCCGCTGTGTATGTCGATACTACTTTACATTACCGAATCAGACATGGGCGAGTGCAGATTATCTCGAGTACGAGTCGAGTACCGAGTACAGATTCTCGCATACGATTATATGAGGACAAGTACATTTTTTTGCAAAAAAAGTCAATGAATTTGTACTCGTTATTGGATTTTTCCGTATGCACTTTTTTTTTTAATCTAATCTAATTTCAGTAATCTGCCGTAAGCTAAAGTACTAATACTTTCCACACGCCTATCTTTTCATCACTTGAACTAGAGTATCTCAGTTTAATTCTATCTTAATTTGTTTGCGTGTTTATTTAATAAATTCTTTCAATTTTATTTACTTTTTTCTTCTTGTTCTTATGATGATAATTAATCAACCAACTTTCTTCGGCATTTTCTTCCTCAATCACTAACAGCATGTGAAATATTACTTAATTTAAAAGTTTCCGTAGAAAATATTTTCTCTAGTACATATATTATCACGAAGCCTCGAGTATGAGTACGAGTATCTGACCGTCGAGTGCTGAGTACCAAAACTGGTGCTCGAATCGCCCAGCTCTGTATTAAATATCATCTTAGGAACTGAAATATAATTCTGTTTTCTTTTAATTTTCGTTTATTTTATCTGATTAAGGACTCCTCAAAGTGTGTATCTCGGCAGACATTTGGCGAAAAAACAATATTATAACTTGAGAAAAATATAGGTTGAAAGTACGGTTCTCTAGAGGCGAATTTTTTTATCAAATCGACACAGGATAAAAATAAAAATGAAATTCTGAATCTAAACAATTTTAGTTAACTATTAGTAAGAAAAGTTTTTCTTTTAGATCTACATTGTTGAAAAAATAAAATTAGCTTACTCGCTTCCAACGTTTTCGAAAAGCTATGTTCAGTATAATGAGATTTCCCTGTTTTGCCTTTATACAATCCGATACAGAAATAAACCAGAAGGTCACTCTAAGTGTACGGCAACTATGATGCACGCAACTTTATGCAACTCTTTTCTTAGACTTTACTACAAGATTTTCAAAACTCCTTGGTTTTCGAAATAAAGTCTAGTTTTCTCAGTCTATGAGAGTTTTTGACGAAAACCAATGACATATTTGCACTCAGCACGTCGAGTTGCATCAAACCATGTATAATACAATAAGTTTTGGATCGAATAACTATCCATCGAAATATTTTTCGATTCATGAACTTGTATGACCGATCTTTCGAAAAAAAGTGATTTTTTTCTGAAAACGTTAATTTTTTTCTTAACGGGGATCCCCCCCATTTAGATTTTCCTCTAACGTTCCCAGTTTGTAGAGGAAAGCATACCACTTGAAGCTTTTTCGGCTGATTCACATTATTTAGCTAAGAAAAAAATATTGTAAATTTTTGAACAAGCGACTATTATTAAAACAATTCCTGTCCATTCTCCATCCATCATAAAAACTTGATTCTTGCCTAGATCGGTAGAGAAATGTGGGGAGAAATATTTACTACGAGAAAATATGTAAAAATTTTTGTTCTTTCCTTCTTGTTATTGACTAATTAGTACTAATTAACGTTAATTTAGCCTACCCTATCAGTCCCATTTGTAAAATAACGACTCAACAACGTCATTCGGGAGCGATGAAAAGTTTTTCTCCTTATACAAGTTAATGTCTCCTATCGAACTACGGTAGAATCCACCCTTCATATCAAAAACTGAAGTTTTTATTGAAATTTTAAAAATAGGGGACAAAAAAGTCGAAAAAAACTTCAAAGCTTTTTTTATCAAAAACTAAAAATACGGGAACCGATAGCTTTTTTGAGACATATGGTGAAAAACGATTTTGATAATCAGAGAATGTAAGATGCACCCAGGGCAGCCTTGCAGTGAAATTTATTTTTCGACACTTCATACACCATTCGATAGAGAATTTCGCGGTGATCACGAATATCACTTCCAAGGCTCTCAGAACCCTTTCCTCAC